GGATTTGAGGGCTTAGGGTTTATAGGGTTTTAGGGTTTTAGGGTTTAGGGTTTTAGGGTTTGGGGTTTTAGGGTTTGGGGGTTTCGAGTTTGGGGTTTTCGCGTTTAGGGTTGGGGGTTTTCGGGTTTGGGGTCTTCGGGTTTAGGGTTTTAGGGTTTGGGGGTTTAGGGTTTAGGGGTTGGGGTTTTAATTCGGTTACCAATAACACCTGCATAGACCAGGTGTAAAACAAAGGAGGGTACCAAGAACCTCGCCTGGCTTGTCCGAGTGTAAGCGCCGAAACCGTAAAGAGCGAAATGAAAGCCCTTTTCAGTTTCTTCCGCAATCCTCCAGGTAGCCCTAGCAGAGGAGGCCACGCGGGAAGCAAAGAAGCCGTGTCCACTGTACGAAAGACCCTCTCTTCCCCTCGAGATGCGGGAGACTTGCACCAGGAAGCCCTTGAACTGATTGGGGGATCCTACAGTAAACCCCAAACCCCCGATCGGTTCTTTACGACCCCCTTTACTTCTCCCCGAACCCTAAACCTCTCTCAGACCCTAAACCCACCGTCCGAGCTTTCTTTCAGCTAGTTTCCACCACAGACGAACTTCAGACCACAAGCCGCGCCTGCATTGTCCGAAGCTCTACGCCGACCTGCTACCGTGGAACCTCGCCTGGCTTGTCCGAGTTGTGAGAGCGTAGACCCTAACCCCTAAACTGTTGCCCTTTCTGATCTGGTGACTCGACATGGAAGTGCATCTCCCTTCAAGCCTGAACCTTACCCCCTAAGCCTTTCAGAAACTGACCCTAATAGCACCCCTTACGCCACCCTAATGAAGGAGACTTCAGACAGCCGCCGGGATGCCTGGTGAGAAAAAAACCAGAAAATCCGACGACGGAAATCTGCCCTGGACATAGGATGGGCAGCTTCCGTTCGTGCTGGGCCTTGTCTGCTCACTGCCTGGTGCTGTGTTGCAGTGTAGTAGTAGATACGAGCATTGTGACAGTATCAGCAGCTGTAGGAGGAGGAGTAGTAGCGGCAGTAGCAGCATTAGAAGGAAGGAGATAGGAGGAGAGTATTGTTGCCTCGTTCATCATCATTCATGGCTTAAATGTGTGTGTTTATTATGTCTTTTCCTTTTCTGTTTCTTCTTATTTGTTACTGTTCTTCCTTTCCTGTTCTCGCTCTGGTATGGTAGACGGTCTCCTGCTTTGTTACTCATAAGGTTGTAATATGCTACCATGCCAGAAAGATAACTCGGAAGTGGCCACTGGCAAGATACCGCAACGGCAAAGGCAACGCAAGACTGGGTCTTCCACACTCGTTGATTTGGCCAGCGCTGACAAGAGTGCCCGAAGATGGCATTGCGCCGCGGCCAGCTAGTTCTGACGCATCTGTACAGTTTCGTTGAGCTCGCCTGATACGTTGTATTCCCCTGGAAGCCGCTGAAACAACGGTCCGCACAAGTTTTATTTCCGCACTTCAACTGTTGCAGGATGTGGGATCATTGGTAACCCCCCGGGTCTTCCTGGGAGTGCGTGGAGAGGCTTTTCCGGCTCCATGCTTTGCCCCCGTGCTGCTCCACTTGGACAGCGTTTTGCAAGCATGACAGCGCTTTCGGCCAGACCCCGCGTCGCAGAGTCAAACGGGCCGCTGCGAAATCTTTGTAAGTTGAATGGTTTTGCAGTGCTGTGCAGTGTAAGAGATAATATTGATTTGTACCCACAAACATATTGAAAACCAACAATGTGCACATATATATATATATTTATATTATATTATATATGCACACATCTGTATATACGTATATATACACATCCACACACGCCTTTAAAGGGGGAGGCTCTGCGCTGCGTTCAGCAGGCACTTTGCTCTCCTCCCTCTTGCTCACAATGCTGTGGCCGCGCCTCGCCTCCAAGTCGGAAGTGGAATGTGGTAGCTGAGTAACATTGGGTTTAGGGTATCTAGGGTTTAGCGTATCTAGGGTTTAATTAGGGTATAGGGTTTATAGGGTTTAGGGTGGGTGCAAAAGGGTGGGTAATATGAGCAGTTCTCTAAATTAGGGTCTCGTTTTAGGTCCCCAATACAGTACGGCACCTTGATAAAAGGGACCCTCAAAGGGGCCCTAATGTAGACAACTACCCATATAGGGTTTATAGGGTTTAGTTTTTATAGGGTTTAGGGTTTAGGATCAGGACGAAGTAAAAAAGGGGCCTAAATAATTGCCGATACTATTTTTGGGGATCCTTACTACACTTGTAGTATCCGAGGTACCAATGCTTTTTTGGGGCTCCCTACTACAACTACAGTAAAATGTGCCCGAAAGCCCCATGCTTATTATTATTGAGGCCCCCATATTCATAATCTTGGGCTTCTGGGCTTCGATAATCCATCGGTTTTTCTTGGGAAAGGGAGGTCATCAAGTAGAAGAGAGAGCCAGCGAGGACTGAGCTGTAGGGTCGCCTCTGTTGCGGCCAAGTATGTAATATATTGCATGTGTATATGTATGTTTTACATGTTATGTGTTAGATGTTATGTATCCACTACTTGATGCTACATATCATTTCAGGTATCTCGGCTTCCACACCTTTCTGATCGGCCGCAATCTGACCACCATCGAAGCTCGTCTTAGCTTTCATAGCAAGTCAACTCGGGGAGCTGGATGCAAGAAGAATTCGAGGAAGACGCAGCCACTGTGAACTGCTCAGGAGTTTCTGGAGACTCGTGACCTCTTTCTTGGCTTCTCCAAGCCGCTGAGATGCGATTATATACATAGATAGATAATGTCAGATTTGCTACAGAGCGGTGGCACAGTACTTGATGAGCCATGATCTTTTCAAGGTACGATGAGGGCCTCTTTAGCAACATCCAGTGTGCCAGAATCTTGGGATCGTCTCGTGCTTGCAGCATCCACGTGTGTGGGCAGGCATGTTGTGTCCTTTCGCTGGAATTGCAGTACTGTCAGTCTGAGTCGTGCTTCCATCATGAATCCCTCCTGCTTGTGCAGCTTGCTCAAGCTTACATAGAAGCTTCACAAGCTCTGATTTGCGTTGCTAGCTTTGAAGGCAGCCATGGGGTACCCGTCCGGTGGTAAGGGCAAGGGAGGCCATATGGGAGCCTATCCACAGATTGGCGCAACTCGGTGCATGTCGAGCTGCAGTACATTGCCTAGCATTGCCTCGTTGGGTCTGCGCATCATTCGCGTGATGTGACATGAACTGAGGTGAATACGGAGTCACTTCCACCTCAGCGTCCTGCTCCGCAGCAGCCTGAGATGAAGGCGGACGTTGACTCAGAAGATTGGAAAGCTCAGATTCGCCGCCCGCCCCCAGACCAGCGCTACAAGACGGAGGATGTTACCGCCACGAAAGGCAATGAGTTTGAAGATTACTTCTTGAAGAGGGAGCTGCTGATGGGCATCTTCGAAATGGGCTATGAGAAGCCCTCCCCCATTCAGGAGGAAAGCTTGCCAGTTGCGTTGACGGGCAAGTCCATTCTTGCCCGAGCCAAAAACGGCACCGGAAAAACCGGAGCCTTTGTCATTCCGATTCTTGAAAAATGCAACACCACGAAGAATGCAATCCAAGGGCTCATTCTTGTGCCCACGCGAGAGTTAGCATTGCAGACTTCTTCAGTGGTCAAGGAAATCGGCAAGCACATGAACGTCCAATGCATGGTCTCTACAGGTGGAACAAGCCTCCGCGAAGACATCATGCGTCTTTACAACGAGGTTCGGTGCGGGGGTTGGGCAAGAGAAATGGGAAATGGGATCATTCTTCATTGCTTAAGTTTGTTTGTCATTCTGGAGACACTTTCTGCCCCTTCCCGCCGCCGCGCAGGTGCACATCGTCGTCGCCACGCCGGGCCGTGTGTTAGATCTTGCAAACAAGAATGTGTGCAACTTGAAGCAGTGCTCCATCGTTGCCATGGACGAAGCTGACAAGCTACTGTGCCCCGAGTTCAAGCCCATTATCGAGGACCTCATCAAGTTCCTTCCTCAAGACAGGCAGATTCTGATGTACTCCGCGACCTTCCCCATCGCCATCTTGGATTTCAAGAACAGTTTCATGCAGGATGCCCATGAGATCAACCTTAAGGGTTTAGGGTTTAGGGCTTGGATTTCAAGAACAGCCCATCCCCTAAACCTAAGCCCTAAGAAAAAAGAACAGCTTCATGCAGGATGCCCATGAGATCAACCTTATGGACGAGCTGACGCTGAAGGGCGTGTCTCAGTACTACGCTTTTGTCGAGGAGCGTCAGAAGGCCGATGCGACGTCGGGTAAGACGTTGCTCCCTCTTCCCACCCGTCTACTATAGGAGCCTGAATAATTACCTATAGTATTTTTTGGGGTTCCTTACTTATAGTTATAGTATAGTGGGCCCGAAAACCCTAAAGTCAGCCTGCAAGACAAGGTGTGCGATGGCAGGTAATTAGTTTCAGTTTGCCGCCTTTGTCCCGCCATATGGGAGTTTCCGATAACTAAGGCGCGCCTTATTTTGGGGTCCTTTACAAAAAGGATCCTACTATTTACCGTGCTATTTTAAGGTCCCCTATTTTCGGAAACCCCATATCTTTTGGCTTGTGTGGAGGGCCGAGCCACCGCAGTCTTTTTCGAACAGAGTTTAGAGTTTAGGGGTTTAGGGTTTAAGGGTTTAGGGTTTAGGGTTGTGTTGCTGGTTGCATCGCGCAGGTTCACTGCCTCAACACCCTGTTCTCCAAGCTGCAGATCAACCAGGCCATCATCTTTTGCAACTCCGTCACCCGGGTGGAGCTGCTTGCGAAGAAGATCACGGAGTTGGGTTACTCCTGCTTCTTCATCCACTCCCGGATGTACCAGTCCCACAGGAACCGAGTCTTCCATGACTTCCGCAACGGAGCTTGCCGGTGTCTGGTTTCGTCTGACCTCTTCACGCGTGGCATCGACATCCAGTCCGTGAACGTTGTGATCAATTTCGACTTCCCCAAGAATTCCGAGACCTACCTCCACCGCATTGGCCGCTCTGGCCGTTTCGGGCACCTTGGCTTGGGCATCAATTTTGTGACTTACGAGGACCGCTTCAACTTGTACCGTGTCGAGAAGGAATTGGGCACGGAAATCCAGCCCATCCCGCCGACCATTGATCCGGCGACCTACACCTAGGGCTTGGGCTACAAGGACCTTTGAGAAAGACCATTCTTTGCCTTATGAGATCACGGTTGACTTGTGAGTCCCCCGTAATCAGACAGGCTGTTGCATGGTATCGCATGCAAGGCTAAGATGCAGAGATTTTGTCGAACCAGTCCATGCATCGGGCTTCAGTGGCATGATGACAAAAGAACCGCAAACCTTTGAAGTCGCAAGACAAAGGCCAAACTACTAAACCGTACCGGCCAGGTTGGAATATCGAATATCATCTCAGCGGTGTCCATGTTCCATCCCATATAGGGGTCGGCGCGCTCAGCATTAGTTTTGTTTGGTGCTCCCTGTATCCTTGTGTTTGATCAAACCTACTTCAAAACCTTCTGAATTCCTAAGGCTCCGACATGATCTGCCCTCGGTTCTTTTACAGTTCCCCAGGGTTTCACCGGCGCGGTTCTCACCGGAGCTCTCAGACAGTCCCTGCTGGCTGGTGATCAAAAGAGACGCACAGTTTTGGCATGCTGTATGTAGGGTATTGATGCAGGATGTAGGGTTTCGGATATAATGTTTAGGCCTTCGGCCTAGGGGTATCTAAAGGGTCTAGGGCGTACGGTCGGGGTTAGGACCTCTAATTCTAGCTGTGGCGAGCCTTAGTTCCTTCACGTGATCATGCATCCCTTCATTTCAGGTCCTGGGCGACTCATTGCCACTGTGGCTTCTTCCAACGGCCGGGCCCAGCGGAACCGGGTTAGCCGCATGATTGAAGCGTCAAGGGGTAGCTTTGAGATTTGCTGCCCTCAGCTGATAGTTTTGAGCCCTTTAGAGTGGCGCCTGCAAGTCAACTGCGCAGTACGTGCTGTTCAGCTTTATGATACCAACTCGTCTCGATTGCATGGTCACTGCCACATATTGTATGTAATCACGCGGAACTATCTGTTTACTGCGTGTATATGGCAGTGCATGTGTCTAGACTAAATCAGTATATGGAAGAAAGCAAGTGACACCTACAGACACAAGCTCTCTTTGGATGGGCAGCTGACAGTGAGGAGTGGGTCTCACTAGGTTAAGCCTGTCCAAGGAATGGGGAGTCGCAGAGGCCCCGACCGAGGCAAGGCAATGCTCCATGCTCGATTTGTTGAGAGGGCTGGCTGGACGTTGAGAATCCATGCGCCAGTGAGGAGTTCTTGTCCCTCTCGAGTGTACGGGAAGAGGCTCCGGCTGCAGCGGTAAGTGTCCGAACACGTTGACCTACTGTTGATAATATAAATCCTGCATTACCTTAAGTACCCTAAACTATGGGAGTTATGGTATACTCCTTATTATGGGTAATGCGGGATTTATATCATCAACCGTAGGTGGTGAGGAGAGCAAGCCGAGTGTTCACAAGCCAAGGATGATGCTGTAGCAGAGGCAGGGTCGCATGGTAAGCCACAGCTCCTTCGGAAGCAGAGGCGAACAGTGCGATGGGAATACTCCATCCCAAAGCAAACCCTTGGTGGTGGAGGTGGTGTGATGAGATGTAGCTGGTGACGGGGAGGATTGACAGCCGTGATGTTGGTGATGACGATGAGACTGATGATACTGTAGTGATGGTACTGTAGAAGCCTAAGTAATTATCCATATTATTCCTTAGGTTCTTTATTATTATTATTATTCTAATTATGATTATACTATAAACAAGCCCAAAACCTATTATTAAGGCCCCTACATTGCGGGATTGACAGGAACGTGCTCGGCCACAGAGCCAGGAGCCCTCATCCAGGACGGCAGCAAGCTCGGCCTCCGGCGAGCAGGTGCCATGATCCAGCGTTTCGGGTTTAGGGTTTACGGTTTAGGGATTATGGTTTAGGTTTCGGGGTTTAGGGCAGTTTAGGGTTTAGAGGTTTAGGGTTTAGGGTTTAGGATGCCTGGCAATTAGTGTGTAGGGCCCTAAAGCTGCTGCAGACATCCTCGCCTAGGTTCGTCCGAGTGTGAGCGCTGAAAGCTGCTGCAGCTTTGTCAAGCTTCCGTTTCCACCCAAGCTCCGCATCGTAATGATCCCCAATAGACCTCTGCACTCGTCCTTAGAAGCTCCCACTGACCCTGACCCGGGCTCTGTGCCTGGAGTGATGGTGAGCTTGGGCGGGTTGAAACACCGAGCTCAGATTGCCAGGTGGAGGGCTTCAGCTGCATGACTCGCTGGGCCACCGGAGGTGCAATGGCCTTGGAGGCACCACGCTGCTTCTGACTTGGGCCACGGGCCAGCTTAACACCCTTACAGCAACCCGCCTCGTACCCTTGAGATCCTCCAACCCTAGACCCTGAACCCTCCATGCCTGCGTGAGCGAGTGTGTGGGTCGAAACCCTAAACCCTTCGCCTGTCTTGCAGAGGTGCTGGCATGCGACTCATGGCAGTCCTTGTCTCAAACCGTGGCGGCTCTGGGCAGCTTCTGCGGAGGCTTGCCAAAGACCTGGAGCTTTGAGCAGCGGGTTGAGGTATAGGTTGTTATGGTTTGGGGGCTAGGGGGTAGTGCATGGTTAGAAAATGGAAATGGCCATTGCTAGCTTATCAAACCATGCGAAACCCCACACCGAAGAGCCTGCCCTGAAACCCTTGAGCCATATAGAAACCTGGTTTTCCAATCCAGCAGTTGACGTTTTGCCCTGCTTTACATTGCTTTGCCGGACGTTTTCCTTCGAGATCTTTCATCAAGCAGGAAACCACGGCAACGTGAGCCCGAAACTCTAACACCGAGATCGCCGAAACAGGCCTGCAAGATCCTGCAAGATATTCCGAAATCCCACGAGGCAGTAGCACCATTCCTTGGCTTAAGCCCCCCGTCCCCGACCCACCCACACACATCCAGACATAAGCAAACCAGCATCCGAGGACCCTTGCAAAGATCTTCCAGCCCAACGGCTTGATCTGAGCAGCGGCAGAGGGAAGAAGACGGTCGTTGATGCAGCCGGGTAGCGAGCGCAGTAGCAGCACCGGGCAGGGCAACAAGAACCACAGCAAGACCAGTTGTCACTGCAAGCGTACTGTGGGCCTTAGTATGTACAGGCATCAGCTGTCCGGCTGGCTGCAACTTCCCTTACGAAACTGCCAGCAGCAACAAGGCGACGGTGTGACCGAGGCCTATGGAAGTGTCGGGGCGCTTCATTATGCGTTCCGAGCCCGTTCCAAAAAGGAGTGCATGGGAAGGGCTTGGGGGGGCCTGTACCCCGAAACCAGTGTGTCACAGACAGTCAGCTAGGTCCCAGCTAGGTTGGTGCGTAAAGGTTGCTGCATAGGCCGAGTTGTTGCGAGAATTCAGAACGTGTCTTGCAAACGCTGTCATTGTCATGCGGTAACTTAGCTTACCGGGAGGGGAGGAAATGGAGGTTAGTTCAGGCTTTAGTTTCTGATCGAGTCTGATCACATTAGAGAAGCCATGCGAAGACACGATGTGCACATATATATATATATGTATATATTGTAATAATAATAATACTAATAATAATAACAATAATAATAATAATACACACACACACACACATATATATATATATTTGCTCCTAATGTCGTTCGTTCTTTGCGTATATAATGAGCGCCGTGTCCCTTCGATGGACCTCCCGCTTTGCAAGCCCCCAGGTTCAAGCGAAAGCACACGAACTTTCGCACGCAGCTCAGCTGCAAACACGAGCAGGATATGGCTCCTGCTGCTGTTAGGACCAGCACTTAAGTAGGATTACTTGGGGACTTGCTGCTATAATTACAAATACCCGAAAACCAAGCCCCACAACCCGCAAACTTGTCTCACGTCCCGTCACAGTGTTGCGGGACCCAAAAAATAGCCGCATACCATCTCCTCATCCAATGCTCCCATCCCTGCAAGTGCCCAGGCAGTGGTCTTTCCCGGATGACTTCCCATCAGCTGCAGTCATCGATGCCTTTCATCGCCCAGAGGCCCGACGGAAGTGTAGCTCAGACTTATGTGTGTGTGTATATATATATACACATATGTATACATCATAATGTGGTGGTGGTTGTTGTTGTTGTTGGTGGTGGTGCTGCTGCTGCTGCTGCTGTTGCTGTTGTTGCTGTTGTTGATGTTGTTACTGCTGTTGCTGTTGTTGCTGTTGTTGTTGTTGTTGTTGCTGTTGCTGCTGCTGCTGCTGCTGTTGTTGGTAGGTAGGAGTGTGTGTATATGATAGATAGATATAAATGAATAAATAAGTAAATAAATAAATAAATATATATATATATATAGGTGTGTACATATGTGCATGTATGCATTTTTGCATGAACTGCTGAAACTTAGTGTTTTTCAGCTCTGAAAATCCAAGACTCAAGAGGTGGATCGGAGCCTCGAGCCTTTTGCCTGGGCTCCTGTGGATCTTCGACGCGCCGTTGCCAGGGCCTTGGCTAGAAGTTGGGGATTTCAAGCATAATTCGGGGAATTTGGGAGGTAAGATCAGGTATATCGCTGTTCTATGTTCTATAGGAGCTGGCATGTGGGAGGCAGGACTGAGGGCACGTGCAATCGGCCTTTCGTTTCCAAATATTCCTCAGAAGGGACGTCATAAGGGCTGTTTGGTGCATAGTGTTGGGCCGGGCAGCAGGCAAGCTTTCTGCCGGCGCACTGGGAACAGTGCTTCCCATCTTCCAGCAGAAGCTCTTGTTTTCTTCGTGCAGACTGTTCGCTGTTGATGCACAATCAAGCTTATCAGATAATCTGCATGGCCGGAAACGGTTCCTGCAAGCCACACAAAGAAGCATGTGGCTACATCAAGTCAAGCAAGGGCAGCTTAGCACCGGCAAGCACATAAGGAAGCCTGTTAGGCGTAAAGGCATGCACTGCACAATGAAGCACATTGCACTCAAGGCAGTTATTGAACCAACAGCCTGCAATGCATGTGTCACGAAGTGCGTACCAGCTTTATTGCAGCACCTGCTGGAACCGAAGGAGATAGTTGTCTCAAGCATGCCTGAATTAGCGAGTTGGGTTCATTGATTGTGCTGTTGTCCTACTGCCCAGAATGGGATGCGCAAAGCATAA